TGCATGGAAAGATGCGTGGCTGTTGTCTCCGCATCTCACAGCTGATGGCAACAACTGCATCTTCTGTTTGTTCTCTTCTTCAGTGCTTATGGGAACTGGTTCCCTGGGAGCAAACCCCTGATCCAGCAGGCCATGGCCAAAATCATGAAAGCAAATCCTGCCCTCTATGTGTTGAGAGAACGAATCCGCAAGGGGCTGCAGCTGTACTCGTCCGAGCCCACAGAGCCATACCTCTCCTCCCAGAACTACGGAGAGCTCTTCTCCAACCAGATCATCTGGTTTGTGGATGACACCAATGTGTACAGAGTGACCATCCACAAGGTGAGGCCAGAGGAGCATCCTGGAGGGGAAAGGACAGGGACTGTCAATGTCCTGTGCTCAGGGTGCTTGTGGAGGCTTTATCTCCCTCTGCTTCTGACTTTTGCTTGTTTTCTCAGACTTTTGAAGGGAATTTGACCACAAAACCCATCAATGGAGCCATTTTCATCTTCAATCCCAGAACTGGACAGCTCTTCCTGAAGATCATCCATACTTCTGTGTGGGCAGGACAGAAGCGTCTAGGACAGGTAGGGGCCTGGCTGCTGCTGTGCTTTGGGCTGGGAGCTGGGGTGGGCTCTGACTGCTTGGGACACTCACTTGAGCAGAAAACAGATTGAGAATCTTCATCTTCCTGCCTCTTAACAAGTGTGGAGCTGCAGTGTTTGGTGTCTGACGTCTTCTCAGGGAAGCACTAGCATGGGATGTAAAAGTAAAGGAAAGCAGGCATTGATGTTGCAAGGTTTTTGAGGCTCTGAGGTCTAAAGAGCTGACATCTTCAAGCAGGGCTTGAGAAACAGGGCTGTGCTCAGTGTTACAGCAAATCACATTGCACTTGGCTGTACATCCAGTGCAGTGAGAAGACTCAGGTGGCAGAGCCAGGGAGAGGGGGTGTAGGCAGCTGGTTTCTTTTGAGCCAGTCAGGGGTAACTGAACTCCAGGAACAGGAACTCTGAGACCAGTAAGAAGAAAATGCTGGGCCCTGACTCTGGTCTGGAACAAGCCATAAATTCCACGTGTATTTATAGAATTTGGCTTGAGTCTCTGTGATTCCCATGGAGACACTGCTGTTAGCAGAGAGCTGTCTCTGACCCTGCTGTCCTCCTGTAGCTGGCCAAGTGGAAGACTGCTGAAGAAGTGGCTGCCTTGATTCGATCGCTGCCTGTGGAGGAGCAGCCTAAGCAGATCATAGTGACACGGAAGGGCATGCTGGACCCACTTGAGGTAAGAATGCAGAAGGTAGATGACAAGACAGCCCTGTGTTCCTTAATCCGGACCAGTGTTCTCTGGTAGTTGTGAGCTGATTCCTCCTCCTCTTCATAAACCCCAGGTGCACTTGCTGGATTTCCCCAACATCGTGATCAAAGGCTCGGAGTTGCAGCTGCCCTTCCAGGCCTGTCTGAAAGTGGAAAAGTTTGGGGATCTCATCCTGAAGGCTACTGAACCCCAGATGGTTCTCTTCAATCTCTATGATGACTGGCTGAAAACCATCTCTTCCTACACGGTGAGCACAGCCTGCCTAGGCTGCATTTTGCTTTGCTTCTGATGCATGAGGCAGGAGCCAAGGCTTCAGAGATCCATCACGATTTGCTGCTTGGGAGCGCTTGACTCTGACTCTGCCTGGATTTTCCTTCAGATTGAGTCCATTGGCACTTCCCATGCAGCATCCACATGCCCACAGTGCTGGACACAAGGGCCTTATGTATTTGTTTTCCATCTCCTTTTCTCCTCCAAGGCATTCTCTCGTCTGATTCTGATCCTCCGAGCGCTTCATGTGAATAACGATCGAGCCAAAGTCATTCTGAAACCAGACAAGACAACCATAACAGAGCCTCACCACATCTGGCCAACCCTCACAGATGAGGAGTGGATCAAGGTGGAGGTGCAGCTGAAGGATCTCATCCTTGCTGACTATGGCAAGAAGAACAAGTAAGTCAGTGTCCAGCTGCAGTGATCCTGTCACCTTTTCCTTCCTCTCTGAAGACTGTGAACACGGTGCTGCTTGTGGAGAGTAGACTTACAAGGGCCTTTTGCAGTGAACTGTCAGCTTTGTAGGGAAACTGGTTATCATTACAGAATCAGAATGGTTTGGGTTGGAAAGGACCTTACTATCATCCAGTTCCAACCCCCTGCCATGGGCAGGGATGCCTCACACTAGACCAAGTCACCCAAGGCTTTGTCCAACCTGGCCTTGAACACTGCCAGGGATGGAGCATTCACAAGTTCTTTGGGCAACCCATGCCAGGGCCTCACCACTCACAGTAAAGAACTTCTTCCTTATCTCCAAGCTGAACTTCCCCTGGTTAAGTTAGAACTCATTGCCCCTTGTCCTGCCACTACAGTCCCTGAAGAGTTATTATTAACTGCCTTCTACTAAGGCAGATAAAAGTGTCTGCAGCAAACCTTTCTGATCCCTGCATCCTGTGATTTCCTCCCTTGTGCCTGTAAAGCTGTGGTCTCGTTTTTCACAGTGCCCCAAGTGGATGATCTGAGCTTGTGCTCTCGTGACAGGGGTCCAGAATGGCCTCTGAAACACCTGACTTGGGTATCCTTCCTCTTCCAGCGTGAACGTTGCATCCCTGACACAGTCAGAGATCCGAGACATCATCCTGGGCATGGAGATCTCTGCCCCCTCGCAGCAGAGGCAGCAGATAGCCGAAATTGAGAAGCAGACCAAGGAGCAGTCACAGCTCACAGCCACCCAGACCCGCACGGTGAACAAACACGGGGATGAAATCATCACCTCCACCACCAGCAACTACGAGACCCAGACCTTCTCCTCCAAGACCGAGTGGCGGGTCAGGTAGGCAAGCAGGCAGGGCTGTTGTGTGGTGCTTGGGGAGGGATCTGTGCACCCTTCCATCCTCATCTCTCCTCTTCACAGAGCCATTTCTGCTGCCAACCTCCACCTGCGAACAAACCACATCTATGTTTCATCGGATGATATCAAGGAAACGGGCTACACATACATCCTGCCCAAGAATGTGTTGAAGAAATTCATCTGCATCTCCGATCTGCGGGCCCAGGTGAGTGTGTTACAGCTGTACCACACTCTGCTGGGGCACACAGCAGGCCTGGGCAGCCAGGAAGTACTGGGGAGACAGGCACTGGTAATACAGCTGAGCACACAAGTTCTAGATGGGGTTGAATGGTTCCTTGAGGGGAAGCTCAGCATGTAACCAAACTGAGATGCTCTCCTTTAATGAGAGCCTGTGGGTTGAGAGATCAGCTCCTGAGGAGCTGAGGGCTCATCTAGGCTTCTAAGGCAGGTGTCTGTTCCTAGATTGCAGGTTACCTGTATGGAGTGAGCCCTCCTGATAACCCCCAGGTGAAGGAGATCCGGTGCATTGTGATGGTGCCCCAGTGGGGCACACACCAGACCGTGCACCTCCCAGGGCAGCTGCCACAGCACGAGTATCTCAAGGTGAGTTGAGCTGTTGGAGATGTGGGACTTGGAGAGCTCGGCCTGACACCGAGCAGGCAAAGGGAAGCCTTTGCTCCCTGTGTGTTTGTTGGCCTGGTTTTAAATACCTTTTATTCCCCTCTCAAACTCTTTTTGCCAGGAAATGGAACCTCTGGGGTGGATTCACACCCAACCAAACGAGTCCCCTCAGCTCTCGCCACAGGATGTCACCACCCATGCCAAGGTCATGGCTGACAACCCCTCCTGGGATGGGGAGAAGACCATCATCATCACCTGCAGGTGAGAGGCAGGAGGCTTCTTGTGCCCTCTCTGCCAAGCTGCAGTGCTTGGGAACATGCTGAGGTCTCAATATGTGGCAGAAAGGCAGTGTTGGCTCGTTCCTGGTTTCCCTGTTCTGCCCTGGATCAGTCTGACTTTCCCTATATCTTCTTCCTTCCAGTTTTACACCCGGCTCCTGCACACTGACAGCCTACAAACTGACCCCCAGTGGCTATGAGTGGGGCAGGCAGAACACGGACAAGGGGAACAACCCCAAGGGCTACCTCCCATCCCATTACGAGCGGGTGCAGATGCTGCTCTCCGATCGCTTCCTTGGCTTCTTCATGGTCCCAGCACAAGGGTCCTGGAACTACAACTTCATGGGTGAGCTGCCCCGCTGGGAGAGGGGCAGGAGGGGAGGATGCAGTGGGGATAGCTTGGGGCCCCCAAAACAAGAGGGATGTAGAGCTGTTGGAGTGAGGCCATGGGGATGCTGCAAGGGCTGGAGCAGCCCTGCTCTGGAGCCAGGCTGAGAGAGCTGGGCTGGGGCAGCCTGGAGAAGGCTCCTGAAGGGGAGACCTTAGAGCAGCTCCAGTGCCTAAAGGGGCTGCAGGAAACCTGGAGAGGGGCTTGGGACAAGGGATGTAGAGACAGGATGACAGGGAATTGCTTTAACCTTCCTGAGGGGAGACTGAGCTGAGCTCTTAGGCAGAAGCTCTTCCCTGTGGCAGGGGTTGGAACTGGATGAGCTTTAAGGCCCCTTCCAACCCAAACCAGTCTATGATGCTATGAGAAGGAAATGGTGCTTCAGGCTGTGTTCTTTACCCATTCTTTAAGCTTCATCTGCTTTAAAGATTGTCGTGTGTGGGTAGAGGGCTTCTACCCATCAGCGATGGAGGCAGGATCCATTCCAGTGCGTGATGGTCTCTGTCTCCACCCAGGTGTCCGCCACGACCCCAACATGAAGTACGAGCTGCAGCTCGCCAACCCTAAGGAGTTCTACCACGAGGTCCATCGCCCTTCCCACTTCCTCAACTTCGCCCTGCTGCAGGAAGGGGAGGTCTACTCCGCCGACAGGGAGGACCTCTACGCCTAGCGCTGCCCTCAGCCCTGCTCCTCGTACTGTTGATATTCAACAGCGTCTGTGCCCTGCATCCCCGTGCCCGCACCTCCCCTGCCCTTTGCCCCCTTCCTCCTCCTCCTCCTTGTACCCATCCAACGTCTCAATAAATTTTGTACGAACGGGATCGCTACCGGTGGGTTCCGCCTCGGACGGGGCGGGACAAGGGAGGAAGGAGGAGCGAGTGCGGGCCCCAGCACGGCCATGGCGGAGCCGCTCTGGAGGACCCCTCCGGGCCGCCTGGCCCCGCCGCACGTTTACCGCATGGCCGGGGCGCTGGGGGCCGAGCTCCGCCGCCTCTCGGCCCGCTTCGGGCCCGACGCCGTGGCCGGGCTGGTGCCGCCCGTGGTGCGGCTGCTGGAGCTGCTGGAGGCGCTGGTGGCCCCCGACGGGGACGCGGCGGGAGGGCGGCAGGAAGCGGAGGTGAGAGGGGGAGAGGGGGGGTAAGGGCTCGGTCCCGACCTCCTTTGGGGGTTCCGTCGGCCGTGGGGCAGGAGTCACAGTGGGGACTTGGCTGTCCCCATCGCTTCCAATGGCTCTGACCTGGCTGGCCCTGTCCCTGTGGAATGGCTCGGACCTGGCTGTCCCTGTCCCTATGGAATGGCTCTGACCCGGATGGCCCTGTCCCTATGGAATGGCTCGGACCTGGCTGTCCCTGTCCCTATGGAATGGCTTGGACCTGGCTGTCCCTGTCCCTTGGGATGGCTCTGACCCGGCTGTGTCTTGTACCGATGAGGGTGGCTCTGACCTGGCTGTCCCTGTCCCTATGGAATGGCTCTGACCCGGATGGCTCTGTCCCTATGGAATGGCTCGGACCTGGCTGTCCCTGTCCCCAGTGGGATGGCTCTGGCCTGGCTGTCCCCATACCTTGGAGTGTCTCTGACCCAGGTGTCCCCATTTCCCATGGGATGGCTCTGACCTGCCTTTCCCTGTCCCTTGGGGCAGCTCTGACCTGGTTGGCCCTGTCCCCTATGGGATGGTTAGGACCTCACTGTCCCTATCCCCTATGGGATGGCTCTGATCTGGCTGTCCCCATCCCCTATGGGATGGCTCTGACCTGGCTGTCCCCATCCCCAGGACCCCGAGCAGCGGCTGTGGGAGGCCGAGCGCCGGGAGCGGGCCCTGCGTGCGCGCCTGTCCCGCCTGGAGGAGCAGAACCAGCAGCTCCTGGGGCAGCTTGAGGAGAGCCAGTGCCAGGAAGGTGGGTGTCCATGGACGGGGATGGCGATGGGGATGCCGTGGGTACCAGGGCTGCTCAGCCCCATCCACGCTGTGTCTGTGCCCAGATAGCACAGCACGGAAGGAGCGGGAGGTGATGCTGCGGCTCAAGGAGGTGGTGGACAAGCAGCGGGATGAGCTCCGTGCCCAGGCCCATGAGATCGTCTGCAAGAGCCGAGACACGGAGGCGGTGAGCGGATGGGGTGCGAAGGGTCTGGGGACCCCCTCTGGTGTCACCTCCCCATCAGTGCCCATGTCCCTTGCTGGGGGCTCGGAGCTGCTGCCATCACCTCACTCTGTGCTCCCCGGGCCCTCCAGCTGCAGGAGCAGCTGCACCGCTTCATGGCCATGAACGAGGAGCTGCGGCACAAGGTGGCCGTGGTGCGGGCGCAGCTCAAGAGCGCGCTGGAGCAGAAGTCGGACCTGGAGGCTGCGGTGCTGCAGAGCCAGAGGGGAACGAGCAGGAGGAGCAGGAACACCTCCGAGATCCAGCAGCCGGAGCCCAGCCTGGTGAGTGCAAGCCTGAGCTGACAGCAGGGAAAGCCAAGTGGGGCTTAGAGGATGGGGATGGAGTGATGGGCAATGGGATCCAGCAGCTTCATTCCTGAGACATTCCCATCTCTGCCAGCCACAGGGTGGGCACTGTGGGGTCCTAGCCTCCTACTGACCCGTTTTCCATCCCTCCAGGAGGAAGCTCCATCACCCACAGAGGAGCCTCAGCACCAGGATGCGGGCAGGAACCCTTCTCACTGCTGCTTCTCCAAGGAGGAGCTGCAGCAGATCCTGCAGGAGCGGAACGAGCTCAAGACCAACCTGTTCTTGGTGCAGGAGGAGCTGGCTTATTACCAGCGGTGAGTCCGGTCCCCCCGGTCCCTGCAGCCCATGGGCCATCAGAGCCTGCTCCTGGTGCACTCAGGGGGCTGAGCTCTCCATTAACCTCCTTCCAGGGAGCTGCTGAACGAGGAGAGGGTTCCCAGCTTCTTCTTGGATGCGATGAAGTCAACCATCAAAAGGCAGAGGAGGAAAATCAGAGCCAAAATGCTGGGAACGACGGAGGAGGCGGAGAGCAGGTGAGTGCATCCCTGCTCCATCCACCCTGCAAGGGAATTCCCCAAGCATGGAGCTGCCTCCTCCCTGCTTATTCCACCTGGTTTAACGTCTGCAGCTGATGCCTTGCTCTGGCTTAACCCTGGGAGCATCACGGGGCTGGGCTTGTTGTCACTGCTCACACGTGGTCCATCCACATCCATGGATATGGCAAAAGGGAGGTGAGGTGGTGGCCGTGGGACTGCTGCTCCTGGCGCTGTGCTTGGAGCCTGTCCAATGAGAGCCATTGAAGATGAGAGCAGAGATGTTCCCTGGAGGCTCTGCAGGATGTTATGGGCACCACTGGCCCCACCAGACTCGTCACGATGCATGGCACGGGGGGAGCTGGGTCTCACTGCCTTTTGGGGGCTTTAATAAAGGTCTGGAGGGGGCTGAGCTCTTCTGTGCTGCTGACGCCTGCTGCTTGCTTGTGTCGGGGTCTCTGCTGGCAGCAGGGGTGTTGAGCCTGGTGAAGGTGCCTGCTGCCCTAGGGATGCTGCATCTCGTGTTCCCCGCTTCCCTGCAAGGCCAGGATGTCACCCACCTCGGTCCCACAGTGCTGATGGTTGGGCTCTTCCCCCAGAGAAGCATTGGCCACATGGGGTTTGATGCTCAGAGGCTTTACAGCAGGATGTGGCAACCGGGGACACGTCATTGAGCAGTGATGAGGGGTTGAAGCTGGCGGCTGAAGAGCCTTGAGATCATGCAGGCAGGGCTGGGCTCGCCTTAGAGCACCCATGTGGGATGTGAGCATCACCGTGGCTCTGCAGGTCCCAGCTCTGCTTGGCTTGAGGGGTGCCTCCTCCCATGCCAAGCCTGTAACCCCCTTTGTGCTGCAGTGATGAAGATGAGGGCTCCTGGCTCCCAGCCCGCGGTACGGACTCTGTGGATGCTCATCCTCATCCTCCCGAATCCAGAATTAGGAGCTTGTAAGTGTGCTGGGAAAGCCAATGGGGAGGTTGGGATCCGATCGCATCCCTTGGGAAGGCCTCTCCCCCACGGCTGTTATCTGCTCTCCCTGCAGCTTCAGGCTCTGGTATCAGGACAGCAGCAAAGATCCCCCCGCATCCAGCAGCCCCGTAGCCTGGGAAGTCATCGACTCCCTGGACACGCAGCTGGAACCGCAGCGTGATCCCGCAGCCAGGCCCCCCGACAGAGCCTCGCCACCCCCCTGATCCCATGGGAACACTTCCTGGTGGGCACGGCATCACTGTCTGCTTCCCCACAGCACGGGGATGGGGATGCCACGTGTGGGACACTTGGCTGTGGGTTTCATTGCTGCCCATCAGCCACCCTTTCACTGTGCTCATGGCTTCACCTATGGAGGTCTCCACTTCTCTGTGCCTGCAGCTCAGCACCCTCTTCCCATCCACTCGTGACTCTTTCCATCAAACACCTCTCCCAGATCCTGCCTCATCTGGATGGGGTTCATCCCTGCAATGTGAAGGTGGAGTTGGGGTACCCAGCATCACCACACTGCACCGGGTATCCGGATGCTCCCAGAGCTGGGAGCAGCTGGATCAGCACCATCAGTGCCACGCTGCACTGGGACCTCTTCCTGCTGTTGTTGGGCACTGGAAGACAGGAGCAATCCCCATGTTCACAGGGAAGCATCCATCCCCTCGGGTGCTTTAGCTTTAGAACTGGAGTTGGAAATAAATCAGTCCTGTTTGCCCTCCGAGGTACCCACTGCTTGGGATGCTGCTGCTGGGATTCCATCCCTGTTCTCCATCACTTCCCATGTACAGGCTGACCCTTTCAGGGGGTTGGCTCCAATGGGAACACGGCTCCATGGGTGCAGTGCTGGCTATGGAGGAGTTAAGTGTGAGGAGCAGCTTCCAGCCCGGGTTATCCCCCCCCTGCCCCGGCTGAGCTGGCCTTGGGTAGGAAAAAGGTGTTTCCTGTGCATCTGCTGACACAACGCTCCTGGGGACAGGGAGAGGTGGGACAGGGGCCAGCAGCCGTTCAAAGGGAACACCGTGTCCCCATGGGGGACGTGGGGACCCCACTTAGCTCCTACCAGGGGTCAGCAGCGCCATAGGGCAGCTCATAGTGGTGGGGGCAAGGGGATGCAGCACGGACCTTGTGTGGGTTGGGGAGGGGGCCACTGGCTAAAGCATCTTTGGGGGTGATGGAGGATGGAGCAGGATAACGGCGGGGGTGATGCTCATGGAGCACCAAGCCCCTGGACCCCCGTTCCTGCTGCTGGGGTGGCACCAAGGGCCAGGAACAGCCCCCGTGGCGGCATTCCCTGCCTCCCGTCCCCTGACGTCGGGATCGCGGCGCCTCCTCCCGCGTTTCCTCAGGAAGAAACCCAAGGCTGGCGGGAGGAAGAGGCCGCAGAACGGGACGGGACGGGACGGGCGGACACCAGCACTGGGAGCTGCAGGGATTCGGGCCCGGGCGCCCTGGTGGGATGGGGAGCGCGCGGCACCTCCTCTGCCTCCATCTGTGGCTGTGGGTGCAGAGCTCTGCGCAGGAGCTCGATCCCGACGGCAGGAATGTCTGCAGGTAGGTGCCATGGGGGTCCCTGCTTGTGCTCCTCTGTCTCATGGGGCCTCTTGGCAGCCCAATGGGGTCATCGTCTTCCATGGACAGAGCCCTGCTGCTTGGCACCGCGTGGATGCGGTGCAGTGATGCTGGGGAGCGCGGCTGTTGGTACCCAGGGATGTTCCTTCACCTTCTCCAGGGGTTATTCCTCACGCAGGGCACTGGGATGGGATTTGGAAGCATTGGCAAAACTTCCCATCAAATGCCAACGGGAAACATAGGCACAGCAAATCCCAAAGAGCTTTTGGAGCTGATTTCCCCTCCGCTTCGCTGCTGCCTCTCCCATTGGTCTCACCATCCATGGCAGTGCCTTTCATCACCTCCGCTTTAATGCCTTCCTTCTGTGGTGTTGGTGAAGCTTTGAGCTGCTCCCAGAGCATCAGGGACCCGACACGGGCTCCACAGTGGCAGATCCATGCTGCCTGCCCCATTGCCTGCCCCATTGCCTGCCCCATTGCCTGCCCCATTGCCTGCCCCACCGCCCACCCGGCTCCAGCCTCTTGAATTTCCTTCTATTTTACTGGTTTCCTTCCGGAGCAAAGCCCCCGGGGCCGCGCTGCCTCTGCCTGCCAGACCCAGCCAGGGTGTTCGCTGTGCCTGAAGCGATGCTCTGAACCCACCCTGGTACCCTCATCCCTGCGGATGCTCCACTGTGGCTCTCTCCTCAGGCTCCCCACCGGCCCTGCGTGCTGTCCCGGCTGGAAGCAGGAAGGTCGGGAATGCACGGCTGGTGAGTGATGGGGGATGATGGAGCCCCACAGCTCTCTTTGAGTGGGGTGTTGTGCTGTGGGGACCCCAAATGCTCACTGAGTGGCTTGGATGGAGCGGGGAGCAGGGTGGTGGATTCCCCATGATGCCCCAGTGGGATGCGGTCCAGCAGTGGGGTGTGAGCGCAGGGGACCCCATCCTGCCCTGATGTGATGCTTTGCCCTGTCACCACCAGCACTGTGCGAGGGCGAAGATGCCTGCGGGGCGGATGAGGTGTGTGTGAGACCTGGGCTTTGCCTCTGCAAACCCGGCTTCTTCGGAGCAGACTGCAGCTCCCGTGAGTAGATCCCATGGGCTCACCCATCCCCTTCACCATCCTTGATAGGGGGGAGCTGCCAAGCTTCCCTATGACCCCCATCACCCTCACCACCTCCTTCCCCCTGCAGCCTGCCCCGAGCAGTACTGGGGCCCCGACTGCAAGCGGAGCTGCCCGTGCCACCCTAACGGGCGCTGCGATGCGGCGAGTGGGCGCTGTACCTGCGACCCCGACCATTGGGGTGCCCTGTGCCAGTTCCCCTGCCAATGCGGTCCCCATGGGCGCTGCGACCCCTTCACCGGCGCCTGCCGCTGCGAGCCGGGCTGGTGGGCACCCACCTGCAAGAAGCAATGTCAATGCAACCCGTCCAGCTCCCAGTGCGACCCCGTGAGCGGGCACTGCCGCTGCCTGCCCGGCTGGTGGGGCAGGAGGTGCAGCTTCAAGTGCTCCTGCAACCTCTCCCCCTGCGCGCAGGAGACGGGCAAGTGCGAGTGCAAGGCTGGGTTCTGGGGCCCCGCCTGCCAGCGGCGCTGCGACTGCATCTACGGCTCCTGCAGCCCCGTCAGCGGGCACTGCAGCTGCAGCCCCGGGTACCAAGGCAGGAGCTGCAGGGAGCCGTGTCCCGCTGGGAAGTACGGGTCTCAGTGCGTGCATAGGTGAGATGGGGGCGATGGGAGGGTGTGGGGGGTAACCAGGGGGTGCAATAAGACCTTGGGGGGGGGAATCATCATGGTTGTGTCTGTCTCTTTGGCTGGGGACCATCCTGGAAGGTTTGAGCATCCCTAGTTGGATGCAGCATCCCTGCTGTCCCAAGAGAAACAGAGAGTCATGGAATGGTTTGGGTTAAAGGGAACTTAGAGCTCATCCAGCCCCAACCCCTGCCACAGGCAGGGACCCCTTCCACTGGAGCAGCTTGCTCCAAGCCCCTGTGTCCAACCTGGCCTTGAGCACTGCCAGGGATGGGGCAGCCACAGCTTCTCTGGGCACCCTGTGCCAGCGCCTCAGCACCCTCACAGGGAAGAGCTTCTGCCTAAGAGCTCAGCTCAGTCTCCCCTCTGGCAGGTTCAAGCCATTCATTCCCCTTGTCCTGTCCCTACAGGCCCTTGTCCCAAGCCCCTCTCCAGGTTTCTTCCATCTTTAAGTACTGGAAGGCTGCTGATGGCAGCAGAAAGCACTGGTGTCATCCTGCTTGTCCTTGCTCCCATTCCTTGGTGTGATAAAGCCGCATCTCTGCCTCCCTCTTGCCACCACGGATCATTAAGCACTAGGGGCTGTTTCCCCATGGCCCCAACTGATGCTCGGTGAAGTTGGGGAGGTGGGGGGTGGGGTCCATGATGCGTGTCGGTGCCTCACTGCCCCTGTGCCCCTGCAGCTGCGGGCACTGCGAGCTCGCCCGGCCCTGCTCTGCCGTGGACGGGCTCTGCCCCGGCTGCCAGCCCGGCTGGAACGGGACCCTCTGCCAGCACCGCTGCGCTCCGGGCTCGCACGGCCCCCGCTGCCTCCTGCGCTGCCCCCGCTGCCGCCAGGGGGATGCCTGCGACCCGGAGACCGGCGCCTGCCCGCGCTGCGAGCCCGGCTGGACCGGACCCAGGTACGGCCCGGACCGAGCCCCCCCCCAGCCCCAGCCTCGGGTCCTGCGCTAAGGGATGCAGGGAGGGGGGGGGCTGATGCTTCCCTCTTCGTGTTGGCAGCTGCAACATCTCCTGCCCCGCGGGCACCTTCGGCGATGGATGCCGGCTCCTGTGCTCCGAGTGTGTGATGGGGAGCTGCGACCCGGTGTCAGGAGCTTGTATCTGCCAGGCTGGCTACTGGGGAGCCAGGTAACGCCGGGAGCAAGGCACGGATGGGTCCCCCGTTCTCCCCAGGGGTGTTTCCCTCCTTTCCTTTCCCTTCCAGCTGCAATGACACCTGCATGGAGGGGTTTTACGGGGTGAACTGCTCCTCGTCCTGCCAGTGCTCCCGGGGGACCTGCGACCCTGTGCGGGGCGACTGTGTGCTGAGTAAGGGCATCCTCAGATTTACCCCACTTGGTGCCTCGCAGCCCCACCATGAGCAGTGGGGGTGGCTCTTTGGGGTTGGCAGCTTCAGGACGTGCTGGCCTCAACCCATCTTCTCCCCACAGGTTTAAAGGACCACGGAGCTCTTGCAGCCGCCATCCTCGTCCCCCTCCTGCTGCTGCTGCTCTGCATCGCCTGCTGCTGCTGCGGAGCTGGTCCAGCAGACGCCAGGGACAGGTATTGCTTCCTATTTGCCAGTCCTCGATGGAAAAGCCCCATCTCCCGCATCCCTTGATGCCCACATCCCCTGTGCAGGGCAGCCGTGGCGGATGATGATGTGGTTGCCAGGATGAAGCACCACGTGCGGGGCGTGCTGGCGAACCTCAGCGCGATGATGCCCTGCTTCAACCTGGGCGGCTCGAAGCTCCCCAAAGTCACAGGTGAAAAGAAGCAAGCTCCCCCCCTTCATCATCACCATTTGGGGGTGTCTGAGCTCACTTTTGGGGTGTTTTCTCCTCCCCAGTTTCCCACCACGACACAGAGATCCCCTTCAACCCCAGCTTCATCGAGCCGCCATCGGCTGCGTGGGTTTCAGACAGCTCCTTCTCCTC